AATCGATTGAGCTGTTGTGGAGTTACGAGTTTTTAGAGCTACCTAACCGACTCAGGCAGCAGGGCGTGCAACTACACTTCCCAGCTTACCTCAGCGGGAGTAGGTCGAAACAATGGGAGAGGAGAGGTGGGAGGTGAGCGGAGAAGGACTGAAATGAAGGGGACGCTGGGCAGGGGTCCCGGAAAGCGGGGCATCCCTGCGAAGATGTTGCCAACGGAATTCCTTCACGAAAGAAAGCGCCTTGGTTTCATGAAACCGTAATTTTAGAGTCTGGTTCATTGTTAAACTTTTAGAAGGTGCCAGACGTTGTTTTGGAACCTCGGCCGCTTAGCCTACCCACTCCAGAATTGTTAGGTTTCCACTGAAGCCATGCAAGTTTCGTGGAAAGAGCCCTGAGATAAAAAGGCCCCTTGGCCGAGATTCGTTTTGTTATTAGTTAGCCATGCTACGGGCCCGTTACTTTCCCTTTGAGTCTCACTGTTTAAAATCTTTCACATGACACTTTGGGCTGGATGGTTTAAAAATAAATGCAATCTCTCACGGACTTCACCTTGCCTACATTGTAAACTCCAAATGTTTAGCCTCAAGTACAAGGCAGGCCCTTTGTGATCTTTGTTACTTCTCCAGGCTCCTGTGCAGCAGGAGTATCTCCATCAGTGATACTTGGGGAAGCAAAGGAAGCTATTACTCCCCGTGAGCATATTCTCCAAATGCAGCACCTTTTCGCCCACAGTCCGTGACTCAAAAAGTGAGAACTAGTTTTTCTTCTCAAACTCAAATACTTTAGTAGAACTTACCTACTTAAATAGTTCGGAGGTTAACCATGCTATTTTACACCTGCATGCCTTTGAACATACATTTTCGTAGAATATCCTCCACCAACGAAGTGCCTACTATCTGTCAGGCTCAGATATGTGTACTGGAGTTGCAATGGTGCAAAGTCACTCCCTGACCTCAAAGAGCTCATAATGCAGAAGGAACATGTGAAAAGTAAACAAGCTGGGTGGGGTGACTCACACCTGTAATCCAAGCACTTTGGAAGGCCGTGGTGGGAGGATCACTTGAGCCTAGGAGTTCAAGGCTGCAGTGAGCTATAATCAAACCATTACACTCCAGAATGGGTGACAGAGATAGACGCTGTCTCTAAAAAAAGAAGAAAAGGCCGGGCGCGGTGGCTCAAACCTGTAATCCCAGCACTTTGGGAGGCCGAGACGGGTGGATCACAAGGTCAGGAGATCGAGACCATCCTGGCTAACATGGTGAAACCCCATCTCTACTAAAAAATACAAAAAAAAACTAGCCGGGCGAGGTGACGGGCGCCTGTAGTCCCAGCTACTCGGGAGGCTGAGGCAGGAGAATGGCGTGAACCCGGGAGGGGGAGCTTGCAGTGAGCTGAGATCCGGCCACGGCACTCCAACCTGGGCGGCAGAGCGAGACTCCGCCTCAAAAAAAAAAAAAAAAAAGAAAAAAAACAACAACAACAACAACAGAAACAGACCTTGACACCATGACATTAAGTGCCCTAAAAGAAGTGACTTTTGTGTGTTGCTGGGGTACCTAGGTGGAGACCTTGCTTGACATCGCATAATTAAGAGCATAACCCCAGTTCTACGCTTCATTGTGTGGCCTTGGGCAAAGCATATGTTCTCCTCTGCAAAATGGGAATGATAGTTACAAAAAGAATACAGTTAAATGACTGCAAACCCCTTCTGTATGAAGCAAAGGAGTTATTATTGTGGATCACGTAAAAAGCACTCATTTGGCCAGGCGTGGTGGCTCGTGACTGTATTCCCAGCACTTTGGGAGGCAGAGGTAGGTGGATGTTTTGAGCTCAGGAGTTCAAGACCAGCCTCGGCAACATGGCAAAGCCCTATCTCGATTAAAAATATATATATATACAAAAATTAGCCAGGCGTGGTAGCACACACCTGTGGTTCCAGTTACCCAGAAGGTCGAGGTTGCAGCAAGCCGAGATCGTACCACTGCACTCCAACCTGGGTGACAGAGCAAGACCCTGTCTCAAAAAACAAAACACAACAAAAAACACAGATTCAAGTGCCTGTGCCTCCTGGGAGAAATATGCTTCTCCTTTCCCAGCCTCGTTTAAAAATGTGGTTTACAGAGAACAATATTTATTATGCTTTTTCATTTATGCCATCACATTAACCTCCCCCCACCACCGCCAACAAACTCTGAGGTGAGTATTATTACCATTTTACAGATTAGGAAACTAAGGTGACAAGCAGCTCTGGGCAGCTCTGTTGCCTAGGCTGGAGTACAGTGGCGTGATCATGGCTCACTGCAACCTCAACCTCCTGGGCTCAAGCGATCCTCCCATGTTGGCCTCCCAAGTAGCTGGGACTGCAGACAAGTACCACCATGCCTGGCTAATTTTTGTGTGTGTTTTTTTTTTTTTTTTCAGAGATGAGGTTTTGCCATGTTGCCCAGGCTGGTCTGGAATTCCTGGGTTCAAGCAATCTGCCAAAGTCACTTTGGCCTCCCAAAGTGCTGGGATTACAATCCCAGGCATGAGCCACTGCACCTGGCTACAATTTTAAAATTTTCTTATAGAGATCGTGTCGTCCTATGCTGCCCAGGCTGGGCTCAAACTCATGGGCTCAAGAGATCCTCCTGCCTCAACCTCCTGAAATGCTGGTATTACAGGTGTGAGCCACCATCCCTCCCCCTGCCCACCCCGCCCTGGGTTTAGCCAGAGAAAAGAACTTGGGATGAGGGGAGAAGAAATAGGGAAAGAGAAATGGGAAAATGGGGGAGAAAAGGAGATGAGTAAAGAGAGATAAGAAAAGGACTGGCTAAATTTGAAAAAAATCACAGCGGGTCAGTGCTGGAAACAAGAACATTTGGCTTAGATTCTGTTTAAATTACGAAGAAATGGAGACCCAAGGAAGGAAATGTCTCCTGGAGAATTACCTAGGAACTTAGTAACTGAAAAGGATCTGGACCTGCACTGTTGAATATGGTAGCCTCCAGCCATACGTGGCTATGGAGCACTTGAAATGTGGCTAGTCTGAATTGAGATTTGCTGTTAAGTGTAAAATACACATCAGATTTCAAATATTCTGCATAAAAAATGTAAAATATCTCATCAATAATTTTTCATATTGACTACATGTTGAAATGATTTGGATATATTTAATAATACAATAAAATATTAAAATTAATTTTACCTTTTTAACTCTAAAAAATGTGGTTACTAAAAAATTTTAAACAACATATATGGCTCACATTTGTGGCTTGCACTAGATTTCTACTGGACAGCGCTGGACTAGAAATCTTCTGACCTTGAGCTAAGTGTCTCTGCTGTTTCCCAGAGTCTCTTCCAGCAAGTCATTTACCACCTACCATGTGCCAGCTGATGAGAAAAGATTCAGTTGCCGTCTAAGGATGAGACTAAAACAGGGATAACACGTGCTGATAGGCAATATATCAGTGATTCTATCTCATATACTCCTAGAATGGTATATATATAAGATATTCATACAAGATATTCTTGAGTGGTTCTTAACTTTACCAGCCCCAATGTTCCATTTTAATAACATTTTTACAACTCCCCATTTACTATTTTGAAATGAAGTTTATAGATGGTATAGCCTAACTACATACATAATTTCAAAAAGATTATAGTGTCTGAATCAAAGCAGAAAGAAGAAATAAAGGAAATCCTTTATAATAAGATAATACTTTTATTTCAGTATGCTAGAAAGCATAATTAGTCAGATGCTTGTATTTATGCATAGGAGCACCTTGACTGTGGCAGTGCAAATGCAGACATGCAGACCTAACGCTATGAATAACACTGCTATCAGTAACACAGTTCTCCAAAATGGTAACTCCGAATAAATTCCTGAACACAACAAAGTATAATCTTCCTTCTGTTAACATGGTGGTTACATTCCTTAAAAATTCAGCACATTTCACACCCCTACAAGATTACTTTGTTTTTGTATATAAGACACAGGCACATCAGATGATTATAACCAGTGTTTTCCTTTTTTTTTTCTGTTTTAACCTATATGAATGTTCAGTAGGACATGTGAAAGCTGTGCGGGATCAGGACAGTTTTCTTGTGTGATTCTATCTTGCAATGTGCAAGACACGGAGCCTCCTTGGCTCCTCTCCCCCAGTCATTTGACAACAAAATTGCCCCGTACATTTCCAAATTGCTCCTTAGGGACAGTGCCATTCTGGTTGGGGAACCACTGTGGTGGTCCGAATGCCCTACCTGTTCCCTGTTCCCCAGCCTTACTTTGGGCTGTTCTCCCCTCACCAGGCTCTAAGATGCCCTGGACCTTCCCAGTTCTTCTCCAAGCCAATCTCTTTCTTCTCTCAGGACGTTCCGGTGCTCTTTTCTTTGCCTGGAAAACTGTCCACTTCATGTCTGGATAACTCTTCCTGAACGTCTGGACCTCAGCATTACCAAATTCCCAATCTAATTTAATACTTTCTGTTTAGTTTTTCCACAGGACTCTGTGCTTTTCTGCAATGGTACTTATCACAGATTGGGATTTCTACCTGTTTTATTCTTGCTATGTCAAGTGTGTTTATTACCTGTCTCCCTCAACTTACAGTTCCCTGAGAGCAGGGACCATGCCCATCTCGTCCACCACTTGTTTACCCAGCACTCACGAAGATGCCCGGAACTTAGGTACGTGTCTGGCAAACAACAAACATTTCTTAGGCAACTGAACGGCTGATGGGATTCCCCAGCCAATTGGGAGAAAAGCGCTCTCGAGGGTGGGGGTATGCTTTTTCCAGGACTGATAGGGTTCAGCCCAAGCTACGGGGCAGCTTTGGTCCACTCTGGATTTGCCTGGATTCGCCTATGTGGGGCCGCACGCGTCTTACTGAGGGGCTGCCGGCTGGGGCCAGGCAGCAAGTATCCTGGCCGAGGCTGCTATGCGCTGTGCGGTTAAGCCGTGGGAGCGACCATAGAGAGCGCGCGGGCGGAGCGAGCGGCCGGATGCGGTCACCATAGAGACGGGTGACTGACAGGCAGCGGAAGAGGAAGCTGCGGACAGGGGCTGTGAGGTGGCAGCGGCTGCAGCAGCGGAGCCGGCGCCTCAGCGGGAACTGGGGTCTGTTCCCCCTTCCCCGTCCCTGCTCCCTGCCAGGCGCGTGTGGGACGCCGCTCTTGGTCCCCACGTCTCCGCCCCGCCCCTTCCCTGGACGCCGGGAGCCCCTGGCCGTCCTTTATCCGACGTCCGCCGGCCCCGGGCCCTGAAACCCGGGCCCCCTCCCCGAGGGCCTTGGGCATCCCTCCTGGTCCTGCGCTCGCTGCCTCAGTGCTGTCTCTGGCGCGGCCTCCGCTCCCGCCGACGGGCCCGAGAACGAGGTCTGTGCCCCAGTCTCCCAGCCGCGACCTCCGACCCCTACTCGCAGAACGACCTGAGCTGGACTCCCGAGCCCCCTTCCTAGCAGCCCGGTGACGTGGCCAGTTTCTGTTTTGAGACGAACGGCGAAGACTCGCGTTGGGCCTTCGTTCTAGGGCTAGATTTGGTCTCTGATCGCCGAGAGGTAGAGCAGGGGCTCTGGGACCCCGGCAGGGGTCCTGTCGGAAGCCGGCCGCGCTTCTCTTTGCGTTCCCAGGACCCTGGCGTTGTCTCTAGTTGCTGCTTGTCCTCTGTTTGCTTTTGGTTTGTTTCGTTTGCCCCCTGGGGCCTTGGTAAAACCAGGCACCGAATCGCCTGCACACAGTAGGAGTTCCAGTCCGTGCCTGCTGTCTCCTCAGCAGCTGGGGTTCCGAGGAGAATGCCCTGCAAGATGGCTCCATCGGCCATGGCGCTCCTGAGAGGCTGTCAGTGCTGAGTCACCGATCTACCTCATTCGGGTGGGCAGAACTTGTGTGTGCCATGCGAGTGGCTCCTGACCGCTTTCCTGTAGCCATTGCGTCTCCTCACACGCAGGGAGCAGAGTAGAAAGAGGCTCTGACCCCTTCCCTTGTGCCCGCCGGGCCTGCCGCAGTAGCCCGCCTGAGAACCGGTGCCAGAGGCATGCTCTGGCTCCTCTGTTTGAGGGCTGTTGTTTTGATGGATCGTGTGCTTTTCCCTAACCTCTTATCACTTGCTGTCATCTGTTGACTTAGGCCCAGTCTGCAGATGTGTGTAGTGCTCCTTTTTGGGTTAGCTTTGGCAGTATTGAGTTTTACTTCCTCCTCTTTCTAGTGGAAGACAGACCATAATCCCAGTGTGAGTGACTTTGATTGTTACATTTATTACCGTTTTGGCTGGGGGTTAGATCTGACACCTTCACTTTTGAAGAGCAGGCAGAAGGAGTTGTGAAGACAGGACAATCTTCTTGGGGATGCTGGGCCTGGAAGCCCTCAGGCCTTGCTCTGTCATTGGCCTCACTGACCCCAGGTTCCCTGGTTAAAACTGCAAGCCTACTACTGGCCTGGTACCCATCAATCCATTGATCCTTGGGGCTGTGCCCCTGGGCACCCACCTGGCAGGGCCTACCACCATGCGGCTGAGCTCCCTGTTGGCCCTGCTGCGGCCAGCACTTCCCCTCATCCTAGGGCTGTCTCTGGGGTGCAGCCTGAGCCTCCTGCGGGTTTCCTGGATCCAAGGGGAGGGAGAAGATCCCTGTGTCGAGGCTGTGGGGGAGCGAGGAGGGCCACAGAATCCAGATTCGAGAGCTCGGCTAGACCAAAGTGATGAAGACTTCAAACCCCGGATTGTCCCCTACTACAGGGACCCCAACAAGCCCTACAAGAAGGTGCTCAGGTGAGAGCAACATGTATGCATAGTCCCCAGACACTGGCCCTGTTCTGGGCTAGTGTAAATCCTTGCCGCTGCCTTTCTGCTGGCAATCGGCGTCAGGCAACTTGGAGCAATTCTGGCTTATTTTCCATCATGGTTTCTTCCTGTATTTTCCCTCCTTCTCAGGTCTTAGAAAGTCTCACATTCATTGGTGTTAAATTAGGGTTCAATGTTTTTTGTTTGTTTGTGTTTTTTTGTTTTGTTTTGAGATGGAATCTTGCTCTTGTCGCCCAGGCTGGAATGCAGTGGTGCAATATTGGCTCACTGCAACCTCTGTCTCCCGGGTTCAAGTGATTCCCCTGCCTCAGCCTCCCGAGTAGCCGGTATTACAGGCGCATACCACCATGCCCAGATAATTTTGTATTTTTAGTGGAGACGGAGTTTCTTCATGTTGGTCAGGCTGGTCTTGAACTCCTGACCTCAGGTGATCTGCCCGCCTTGGCCTCCCAAAGTGCTGGGATTACAGGCGTGAGCTACCGCGCCCGGCCAGGGTTCGATGTTCTGGAACAGAGTAGGAATTGCATCTAACCTATCTAGTCTATCCATAGTAGACACCCTCCCTTCCCAAATCAATTCCAATGTCAGCTACTTAGTGGATACTCAGTTGAGTACCTAATTAATATTGACAAGGAAGGAGGTTTCTCCCTTCTCAGCCTCAGCTCACTCACTTCTAGAGGGGGATGTATATACTGAATAAGCTGGGTTCCTAAAGATTAGGGAGTTGACCCTTGGCACACCGGTCTCTCCACAGGACTCGGTACATCCAGACAGAGCTGGGCTCCCGTGAGCGGTTGCTGGTGGCTGTTCTGACCTCCCGAGCTACACTGTTCACTTTGGCCGTGGCTGTGAACCGTACAGTGGCCCATCACTTCCCTCGGTTACTCTACTTCACTGGGCAGCGGGGGGCCCGGGCTCCAGCAGGGATGCAGGTGGTGTCTCATGGGGATGAGCGGCCCGCCTGGCTCATGTCAGAGACCCTGCGCCACCTTCACACACACTTTGGAGCCGACTACGACTGGTTCTTCATCATGCAGGATGACACATACGTGCAGGCCCCCCGCCTGGCAGCCCTTGCTGGCCACCTTAGCATCAACCAAGACCTGTACTTAGGCCGGGCGGAGGAGTTCATTGGCGCAGGCGAGCAGGCCCGGTACTGTCATGGGGGCTTTGGCTACCTGTTGTCACGGAGTCTCCTGCTTCGTCTGCGGCCACATCTGGATGGCTGCCGAGGTGACATTCTCAGTGCCCGTCCTGACGAGTGGCTTGGACGCTGCCTCATTGACTCTCTGGGCGTCGGCTGTGTCTCACAGCACCAGGTGACAGCTCTTTCAAGTCATTCCCGGTCTCTGATAAGCTAGTGGGGGATGAGTGATTAGCTTTCCTCCCAGCAGCACCTTGGAGGCCATTGTTCCTCCTTCCTGGCCACTGACCGCCCCCGTGGGCCCTCTGTTACTCACCTTTGGCAATCTGAGAACCTGGGGCTATCAAAAGTGGTACCTTGTTAGGAACCCGTAAGCAAGACCAAAGGGTGCTCCTACTCACCAGTCCTTCTCCCCTGCCCCCCTGCCCTCCACACCTCTCCTGATATCAGCACTTCAGTTATGGCAATGTGGGCATGTCTTAGAGATGGCTACTCCCCAGAGAAGTGAGGTGATCACTTTTCCAGCCCAGAGAGCTGCCCTGTTTATTGTCCCGGAGAAGAGTGGAAGAACCCAGAGGTGGCTCATCCTCTCAAACCAAAGTATTGGGAAGATTTTCTGGCTTACTTCTTTCATTCCCTTGAGGAACAATGGGAATCTTTGGGGGAAGAGAGTATCCTTATTACTTTTAATATGTTATTTGTGTGACGGCTCCTTGCAGAGCAGGGCTAGCCCATAGACAGTGCACTGAGAGTAGCCGAGAGTGTCCTTAGTTGCCTAGTTACTTTCTACTTTCCAAAATGTGGGCAGTGAAAGAACTGGGGTTAAGCGAGGTGCTGGAAAGGGTGCCTCCTCTGTCCTCTGTTCTAACGCAGAAGTGCTAACAGACGTGAACACTGAGTATGGTTAAGGGTGGTTTGGGACTGGCAGCTCTTGTGTGTGTCATTGATTGGTCTGATTGTCCCTCTAGGGGCAGCAGTATCGCTCATTTGAACTGGCCAAAAATAGGGACCCTGAAAAGGAAGGGAGCTCGGCTTTCCTGAGTGCCTTCGCCGTTCACCCTGTCTCCGAAGGTACCCTCATGTACCGGCTCCACAAACGCTTCAGCGCTCTGGAGTTGGAGCGGGCTTACAGTGAAATAGAACAACTGCAGGTGAGCTGAAGAGGAGCAGGTGGGCAGAGGACTGCAGTCAGAGGGTCAGAGAGAGCCTGAGATGTCCAGGCGTACAATGAGCGAGCAGCTGGCAGTGGGGCTGGTCTAGGCCCTGTATAATGGCAGGGCAGGAAGAGGCTGACCATACTTACATTTAAAACAACTACAGGGACTAAGGTCTTTGGGGGTCCAAAGCAATCATAAGGTAAGCTCCCAGGACAACTTGAATGCAGCTAAAGGGGTTTGCAAGTAGACTCTGAGGATCAGGAAGCTCCGCACAGTGTTCAGACAGAATAGTTTTAGCTCTTCCTCAATAGTGCCTGTCCACTGGGGAGGCAAAAACTGAAGTTTCTTAACTTCTAGAACTGTCCCAAGAAAGCCCAAGGGTGGAAGGTAGAATTCTCAAGTTGAATGTCGGGGTTGGCAGAGGTGGAGTATAGATGAAAACAAGGGTGTGATTATGAAGAAGATGTGAGTCCTTTGGGTATGGGAGAGAAAGGCTGTTGAGCTTCTATTTCAAGATATTTTTACCTGTGCAAAAAGCACATTTTCCACCTCCTTCTCATGGCATTTGTGTAAGGCGAGTAGGATTCCTATCTGTTTGCATTTTAGAGGTGAAGAATAATGTACAAGGGATTCAGTGATTAGCGAGGGACCCGTCACTAAGTGTTGATGGAGTTGGGACAGAGCTCAGCTGTTTGAATCTTACAGCCCAGGCAGCTGGAGCTGGCACTAACTTGAGGCGCATTCCCTCCAACCCAGGCTCAGATCCGGAACCTGACCGTGCTGACCCCCGAAGGGGAGGCAGGGCTGAGCTGGCCCGTTGGGCTCCCTGCTCCTTTCATACCGCACTCTCGCTTTGAGGTGCTGGGCTGGGACTACTTCACAGAGCAGCACACCTTCTCCTGTGCAGATGGGGCTCCCAAGTGTCCGCTGCAGGGGGCTAGCAGGGCGGACGTGGGTGATGCGTTGGAGACTGCCTTGGAGCAGCTCAATCGGCGCTATCAGCCCCGCCTGCGCTTCCAGAAGCAGCGACTGCTCAACGGCTACCGGCGCTTCGACCCAGCACGGGGCATGGAGTACACCCTGGACCTGCTATTGGAATGTGTGACACAGCGTGGGCACCGGCGGGCCCTGGCTCGCAGGGTCAGCCTGCTGCGGCCACTGAGCCGGGTGGAAATCCTGCCTATGCCCTATGTCACTGAGGCCACCCGAGTGCAGCTGGTGCTGCCGCTCCTGGTGGCTGAAGCTGCTGCAGCCCCAGCTTTCCTCGAGGCCTTTGCAGCCAATGTCCTGGAGCCACGAGAACATGCGTTGCTCACTCTGTTGCTGGTCTACGGGCCACGAGAAGGTGGCCGTGGAGCTCCAGACCCATTTCTTGGGGTGAAGGCTGCAGCAGCTGAGTTAGAGCGACGGTACCCTGGGACGAGGCTGGCCTGGCTCGCCGTGAGAGCAGAGGCCCCTTCCCAGGTGCGACTCATGGACGTGGTCTCGAAGAAGCACCCTGTGGATACTCTCTTCTTCCTCACCACTGTGTGGACGAGGCCTGGGCCCGAAGTCCTCAACCGCTGTCGCATGAATGCCATCTCTGGCTGGCAGGCCTTCTTTCCAGTTCATTTCCAGGAGTTCAATCCCGCCCTGTCACCACAGAGATCACCCCCAGGGGCCCCGGGGGCTGGCCCTGACCCCCCCTCCCCTCCTGGTGCTGACCCCTCCCGGGGGGCTCCTATAGGGGGGAGATTTGACCGGCAGGCTTCTGCAGAGGGCTGTTTCTACAATGCTGACTACCTGGCGGCCCGAGCCCGGCTGGCAGGTGAACTGGCAGGCCAGGAAGAGGAGGAAGCCCTGGAGGGGCTGGAGGTGATGGATGTTTTCCTCCGGTTCTCAGGGCTCCACCTCTTTCGGGCCGTAGAGCCAGGGCTGGTGCAGAAGTTCTCCCTGCGGGACTGCAGCCCACGGCTCAGTGAGGAACTCTACCACCGCTGCCGCCTCAGCAACCTGGAGGGGCTAGGGGGCCGTGCCCAGCTGGCCATGGCTCTCTTTGAGCAGGAGCAGGCCAACAGCACTTAGCCTGCCTCAGGGCCCTAACCTCCTTACCTTTCCTTTGTCTGCCTCAGCCCCAGGAAGGGCAAGGCAAGATGGTGGACAGATAGAGAATTGTCACTGTATTTTTAAAATATGAAAATGTTATTAAACGTGTCTTCTGCCAAACTGTTTTTTAGGTCTAGGGAAAATTGAGTGAGGAGAATCCAAGGGAAGGGTATGGGGAGTTTGTCCAAAAGGATCCACTGTCTCCTCACCCTCTTCCCTCCCCCTTCCCTCCCCCTTCACCCCCCACCCTCCCCAGTTTCCAATGACCACGCGGCTGCTGTCAGATGAATGACTTTTAATCTAGCCCCGCACCCCAAGGTGGCAGAGGAGTGATGCTGGAGCCCAGGGCAAAGCACTGGGGCCCGGGGCACGGCCGGAAGTTCTGTCGTGCTGCTTATTTCTGGGCTCCTAGGTGTTGCGCACAACCAGCGACTGCTCCAGCTCCTGCCTGCGCTGCTGGATCTTTAGAGGAAGTGAGAACAGGAGCAGGTGTCAGTGTTCCTGGTGAGTGATCAGGACAACCCCCACCTACTGACACCGCCTGCCATGGAAGAGCATCTGGGAGCAGGGAGGGCCATTGCATGGTGAGGCGGTATGGTGAAGCTTTACTGTAGGGAGCTGTGAGGGCTGCCCACAGGCTGAACAGGGAGGTTTCTCTTGGAGTTGAGGAGGGGGAAGCCTTAGGGCAAGGGTCCCTCCATACCTTGCAGTAGAAGTAGCGACTGACAGCCTCCTGGGACCAGGGCTGGTGGTAGAACTCAGCCCGGCGCTCCTCTTCGGGGTTGCCGGCTACATCTGTCATCACCTGGGAGGGAGCGTGGGGTGAGCCCTGAGCCCCGAATCCCCTCACCTGCCCCTGGAGTACAACGTTTACTGTCTTTCCCGATGTGCTTGTCTTCCACTCCAGTACTCCCTGAGTCTCCCTCTTCACCTTGAGGTCCCGGCTCTGGGAGCGGAGCAGGTCTTGGACATAGCCTTTGGGGTCTCTGGAGAAGCTTAGCATGAAGTCCCTCTGGATCTTGAGCTGGTTTATGGACTCAATCGTCTCATGGATCTGCAGGTAGAAAGATAGATGCTTTCCACCTGGCTGTGGTGATGTGGGAGAGGAGGGAAAAGGAAGTGGGAGGGCAGGGGAGGCCTGTGAAGGACAACCCCTCAGAACCCCTGATTCCTCTGAAGTCCCAGGGGCGGAGGGCATGGGCAGAACTAAACTTGGAATGAGATTCAACTCCAAGCAGCATGGAAGGGCCATTTGTGCCCCATTGGCCCACAGTCTGGTCGCTCTCTTTTTTTTTTTTTTTTAATTTTTTAATTTAACCCAGACTGCTCATCTGCAGCCACACCCTGGTCTCAGAAAAGTCTCCTCTATCATCTCTGGGTTAATATCCCACTCCGGCTCTGGGCTTGGGCCCCACCTTACTGTCCAGAGCACTGATCTCCTGCTGGTTGGCCGTGGACAGGAGGAAGCTGCTCATCTGTCCCTTTAATGGCTCCTCTACCTCCACATCAATGTCATAGCACGCCGTCTTCTTCTGGTCTGAAGGGTCCACGCTGCCAGGGAAGTCCAGCCCTTGGTGTCCACGATGCCCCCATACAGGCCCCAGGGCGCAGGGGCTGGGGCAGATCCAACAGGGAGGGAGGAGAGGGAGGGGCAGGGAAGGCAGGAACGAGATCATTCCCTGGTCTGAGAAGCAAGCTGGGGCCACCTCACCTGATGACATGGTTGATGACAATTGGGTCAGGGGGCAATAGCAGGGCTGTGAGGCGCTGGGGAATCTCAGAAAACTTCAGCCGGGGACAGTCAAAAATCTGAAGCAGGACAATTGGGGAGAGAGAGATCACTCTTCTTGAAGAGATCATCACGCAGTTGTAGATCCTTTTATTCTAGAAAGGCTGCAAGAAGCTGAGAGGAAGTCTGATTCCTTAGTGCGCATGGGGATGGGATTGGGGTGGGCTGGTCTGGCAGTGGAGCCACCCATACGGCTGACAAGGTAGGGGGTGGGTCATTGTGGGGCAGGGGTTGAAAGTGCGGGCCCTGAGTCAGCCTGTGTATGTATCACTCCTGCCTCTGCCGCTTACTATGCAGCCTGGAGCAAGTTAACACCTCAGGGCTCATCTCTAGAGTGGGGATGGAAAGAATACCCATCTCCTAGGGCTGCCGTGGGAAGGCAGTGAACTAATACACATAAGGTGCTTGGAGCAGTGCCTGGCACATGGTAAGTGCCCAATAAATATCAACTGCTGTTTTAACTCCTCAGGTTTATCTGCTGTATTTATTTGTAAATGCATTAATAAGAATATTCTCTGTTTTGGTGGAATTTTGCTGAATCACTTTTGCAGCAATTTGATTTTCCTAACTGCCCAGGAGAGTAGATAGGACAGGTATTTTCACTCCACTTCAAAGATAAGGAAACAAGGTTCAGAATCGCTGAGTCACTTACCCAGAGTCCAGACTCAGGACTAGAACCTGGGGATCCTAACTCCAAGTGCCAAGAATATTACATTCCAGAAAGCGGTTGGCTTTGTAGGGTTTCCAGGTCTTCCTAACTTGGGGGGGGCTAACATGGATTGACTGCAGCACAGAGCTAATCCACAGTAGGGCCTGAACTAGAATCCTGGTCGGTCTCTTGGCTCCAAGACCATGACTGTGTACTGCTTCTGCTACTCAGGAATCTAGAAGGGAGGGGTGGTAGTTACCTTGGTAGAGGTACTTCCCCTGCTGGAGAACTCTGCCTGCTCCCCAGATCCCAGGGTTCAGGAGAGAGGTTACCTGCTGGAAATACTTGTCCCCATTGATGTATTCCTTGTCATGGGAGTCCTGCAGCCTGTTGGTCTTCACATACTGCCACAGGGCCTGGACGATGGCTGAGCGGCTCTGTGTGTGCAACCCCAGCAGCCGGGCTAGGCGGGGATCCAGTTTGAACTGGGGAGGCTGAGAAAAGGGGACCGTGAAAGTTAGAACAAAGGGAGAGAAAGGAAGGAGCCCAGGGCCAGGCCATTCAGGACTATGGGGATGTGTTGATTGAGGAAACATGCCCCTGGGGAAGGATAGGGTTGGGAGGGGAAGGAGGTCTCTCGAGATGCACCACTTTGGGACCTAGGCCTGCCCTGAGAGCCTTGTGTGGCGTGTATGGGGCAGCGTGGCAGGTGCAGACCTGGTAGTCCAGCATGAGGAGCAGCGTGCAGCGCACACTCAGATCCCCAGGCCGTTTCACCTGGAAGCCGTCCGTCTCCTGGGTCGTGGGTGTCCGATGCCACTGTCCAGGAGAGAAGAGCTGTGTCTTCCAAAGGCCCATCTGGAGTGGTGGGGCCCAGGACTCTAGGGCGGTCCCTGACCCAAATCTGTGCTCGTTCTTCAGGGATTCTGGCCTGTGGGAGGGTGGCAATTGAAGGGCGGAGGGGCTCTTGGTCTTACCTCAACAAGGTGGTTGTCAGGACCATAAAGATCTTTGTCCAGCTCGATGACCAAACTCTTGAAGAAAGAAGAGAACTTCCGCTTCTGTTTGCTGGGCTGTGGGAGAGGAACAGGGACCATGGGGGCAGAACAGGGACAGGGTGGGAGAAGCAGAAGGAGGCCAAGTTGGCAGCAGACAGGGCAGTGGGCTTAGATGAAATCCTCTGCACCCGGAATGTCTCTAGGCCTGCCCCCACCTCCCCAGCCTGGGCTGACTCCCTAGCCGTTAGTGCAGACACTTTGCTCTGTTCTCAGTGCAGCCCGTGCCCACCCCAGGACACCTGGAGAGACCTGGGCCGGGACGTACATCATCCAGGAGCTTCCCCTCCACCCGTAGCTCCCAGGAGGCAATGCTGCCATCGGAGTCCTCAGCGTCAGGCTTCGCAGGGTTAAAAGTGTTGGAGATATAGAGACGCAGCTTCCGCTTTTGCTGTAGAAATAGAGTGTAGAACCGGGCAAATGCTGTGTGCTTCCACCCTGACTACCTTGCTTCCCCATCCTGGTCACGCGACTCAAGAGTCCCCTTCCTACCCCCGAACTAAGGCACCTTCATGGGCCTCTTCAGAGCCTCCTGGATGTCCACCCGCTTCCGCATGATGGTTTGATCCAGTTTCCTCTCAAATGCCAAGAGGTCCATGTAAGCCTGGGACTCGGGGACCAGCTCCCGAATCTGGAGGAGGAGGAGCAGGGCAGGAGTCAGAGGCTCGAGTCCAGGGTTGTACCATGGAATGTATGCATGTTGTGCAATCCTAGGGTGCAAAAGATGTCGGGGGAGCCATCCTACTTCTGGGCATGGAGCTTTGACAGTGGGAACAGGACCTCTCCCCAGGATGCCATTATCCAGCAGTAGGGGCCTTGCTGTGTAGGGATAACAATTGCTTCTCCCTTTAGGAAGAGCCTTGTGTATCATCACGGGGAGGAGGTAGCAACTGTGGAACCCAGCAAAGCACTAGCCTTTAGTCTCCTCATCCTGTCATTTTCTATGTCATATGCCCACTGGGCTTCCCCTGGGCCCCTGCAAAGTGCCTAGTAGGGGCTCAATCCCTGGGACAGTTGGACAGCAGTGCTTTCTTCTTTGCTGGCACATTGCTCAGCCCCCACACCTGTCCCAACTGTGCTGTCCCCCATATCCAGCTGGACCTGGGTCCCTTTAGGATGCTCAGGATCTCTGGCCACCTTCTATCCCCTTCATTCTGCCTGGCAGCTTTTGATCCCCTAGCTCTTGCCCCCTTCTTGTCCCACAACTCTGTCTTAGTACCACTTGGATCCAGCCCCCTGACAGGCCCCTGTGTTCTGGCCCCAGTGGCTCTGCTGCTTCCCTCCACCTCACCCCCTCCCTCTGGCCTAGGGAGCCTCACTTATTAATGAGTTTTTTTAAACAAAAAGTGAAAGTGACTGTGACACTGAAGCTCTGCTTTTGAGGGGGGAGGGGAGGGCAGAGCAGCAAAGGGTAGGGGGTGGGCTGGGGGCTGCTGTGAAAGACACTCACCCTTTGAGGGAGGATTTTGTCAGCCATCTTCCTCCTCTTGGCACTGTACATTTTTTAAAGAAAAAACCAGGTTACCATGGCGACAGATCTGGGAGTAACGAGGCCACCTGCTAAATTATCCCGACATCTCCGCCCGCCTGGCTGGGGTTCCCACAGCCCGCTTGTCTGCCCACCCAAGGGCTATGACGGTGGTGTGTGGAACTGGTGCTCTGTCCTCTCTAAGGACACAGGGGTGACCCGTCCATTCTCTGGCCTGGGAGCCCCCTTCTACCCTGCCACTTCCTTAGGGACAGAGAAATTTAGACTTAGGAGGGACTGGCGAGTGGAGGTGGTGCTGCCAAAAGATGGGAGCTGCAGAAGTGTTTGAGGAAAGGTGGGGATGAGGGAGGACAAAGGAGAGGGAAGCCAGGTCTGAGGACCTTTTCTGGAAAGCAGGGGGTGCCCTGTCCAAAGGATTCTAAGCTCAGAGGGAGGGAGATAGACGACTTCCTTCCTATCCATGGAGCGGTAGGTGATGGTGTGAAGCTGGCAGGACTTGCATCCCTTCCAGGCACCCTGGGCTTGGAAGAGAATGCTGATGAGCAGGGGTACTCATGCCCTGGGACTACCTGGCAACAAGGTGAGGGACATGCTGCAGCCATAGGCGCCCAGAATGTGCATGGGTGTGACTTCAGGCTGAGGCCAAATTGACTAGGCCCAGGGTAGTAGCAGCTGGATGTGAGCTCTTTCTGACCCACTAGCTGCTGCTGACTAACCCAAAAACCCCCAGAAAAACCTTGGCGGGTCAAGAGATGAAAACGCAGCCTAGAGAATAGCTCCATACTGCCCCCGTGTGGTGTTCTCAACCACTACCCCCTCCCTATGCAGAAATCTAAGGCTAACAAGCAGATTTCATTAAAGGTCTGGTTTGTTTTAGACAGATTATCTATGTGTAACTCTCCATTTATACAAGATAAATCAGGGAATTACCGTTTGCTGTACAAAATGATGATGCACTTTACAAAATAATTCATCATGGGATTCTTATAAGTGGTGAATTTTCCCTGATGTGTAAAAAATACTTAATGAGGTAAAATTGATATTACACCTTTTATAGAAATCCATCTGTTGTGCAAAAAAAGCATGTGTATTTGGCTAAATACTGAAATCCAGAGGGGCACTGCTGTTGCCAGGAGCCAGCAGGGGCTTTGAGGGTGCCACCAGCTGCTGGAGGAAAATAAGGCAATGGGCTGGCCCTGGTGGCTTGGGAGCAGACCTGGTCCAGAGTGCCTAAGAATTAAGAGCGGAACTGGGCAGAGACCACCTACCACAGGGCAAATCCCCAAGCTCCACCCCCAGGGCCAGAGAGGCCCATTGAGAAAATCTGGAGTGGCTTTGAAACAGTCCGGGGTCTGGCAGGAAGGCTCAGCGGAGAACTACACTTTGGGCAACACAGTCCTACAGCTCTGCCCTCAGTCCCACTGGAAGCCCCGCCCCCACCCCAAAGACTGAAGCATCACCCAGAACCTGATGGGTGGAGAGAGGGACTGAGCAGGTGACAAGGAGAAGGGTGAGGGGAGCGTGCAGGGAAGCGGTACCGGCTGCCGACGGCCACAGCCTGTCTCTACCGTGGGCACACAAAAGAATCAGGCCGGTGCCCCCTAAGCCCACCTCCCCAGAGGGCATCCGATCCGGGAAGCCTCGCTCCCCGCTAATCATTCTTCCTCACCTCTTCCAATCCCCGCTACTCTCTCACCTGGTCCCTGCGGGTCCCCAGGGCCCGCCCCTGCACGCCCCCTCCGCGCCGGGCCTCCCACTCACCTGCGGCTCCGCGCGGGGGCGGTGGGCACCGGCTGGCCCTGGCTCTGTGCCTGGCTCTGCCCGGGCGGGGGCGCTGCTCGCTTACGGGCGGGCTCCATGCCCGCGGGGGCCAGGCCGGGTCGCACGGCGGGGCTGCCCATGTAGGGGGAGCCCGGGGGGCCCATGGGCGCCCCCTGGTGGGGCATCCGGGCTCCAGACGGCATCCCGGGGCGCTGTGGGTGGGCGGGGGTGAAGCAGAAACGGGCGCCCGTGGGTCAGACCAGGGCCCCCAGCTCCAGGCGCGGTGAGCCGGCGTCTCCCCTCCCCCACCAGACCCTCGGCTGGTGACCCTGAGCGCTGAGCGATGGGTGGGAACGATGGGTAGGAGGGGCAGGGGCGCCGGAATACGCGCGGCTCTGGCGGAGGGGCTTGGCGTCTGGCTGTAGGAAGCTAACTGAAGCCAGGCACCGCACAGGGCACTGCGAGCCTCAGGGCTGCGGAAGGTACCGCAAAAATGAATATTAATGGCTCCTTTCAACCTTTCAAAGATGTTCACATCCACATGCTCCTCTACAAGACAGTCTGAGCAGGTCCTTTCATCCCCACTTGACGGATGGGGCCACTGTGGCTCAAGGAGAAAAACGACCTCGCCAAGGTCACACAGCTCATCCAGGCCCCGCCAGCCCCTGAAGGGCTGCCTCCTGGGGGCCCAGGGCTTTGCTCTCTGCAGCTTGGTTGAAGTCAGGTACCCGGCTCCCTGCTCCGACTTCTGCTCCTCCTCCTGCTCCTCCTTCTCAGGCTTCACTTCTTGGGCGGTTCTGCCTGGCACTCACTAGCTCCTCATCTCAGCCACTCTGCTCCCTGCTTTGACCCTTCCGTCCCAAACCCCACTCCCCTCGACTGACTCCAAGTCCCCACACCCAGGGTCTTCGCTGACCCAGGGTCTAAGCTGCCCTCATAATTTGCTCCCAGGGTGAGGGCTGGAGGCAGGGCAGGCAAGGGCAGCCTGCGGGGGCACCCCAGACCCTGCCAGGATTCTCTGATTGGGAGGAGGGGAGCTGCGTTGGAGGTGGGCTGCCCAGGGGGCCTGAGGTGGGTCAGGGCAGTGACACTTCCACTCACATTTCCCTTCCTGTCTGCCCAGGTCAGCAGCCACCTCCTGCTCTTCCCATCCCCACCCCAGCAAGGTCAGCAGTCAGGGTTCAGGGGGCTGTGGAGACTGAGAGGAGGCGGCTCCTCCTCCCTTGCCACTACCCCTGGGTGGTCAGATGGGGTGTAAATGAGATGCAAATGCATCGAGCGAAGTGTTCCAAACCCCACTTGTCCAGACTCCAGAAGGGAGATGGGGAGGGCCAGAGAGAGTTTCAGGGGCTGTGAAACAGAACGAGTGGGGTGGGATGGGGACTGGGACCACGAGAGCAGGAAGAAGATCAGAGGGCAGGGGATGCAGACCCTGGCCCTGTTAACATGGACACACCACCCACCACATCCCCAGGCATGAGGAGGGGCCCCCTGGGCTTGCTGTTTTCCTTCCAACTGCTACCTCTCCCTCCTGGCCCTCCAGGCTCTGTGTCTAACCCTAATGTCCTCCCACCCTCGGTCAGCAGCTGTCTCTGCCTATCTCTCCTGCAGTGAAACCTGCCTGTCCATGTGTCTGCTTCCCTCACCCCACCTGACCCTGTCACTCACGCCTCCAGGGTAGCGGCCCAGAATGGAACCCAGGCCTGGCCACCAGCTAGATGGGGCACTGGGGCTCACAGTCACTCAATAACTGAAGCTCTAAGTTGACCAGATAAAAAAAAAAGTCCACGTGTGCAGCCTCTCCCCACTAGATGGGCCTTTTTAAAGGGGCTCCCACCAGCAGCCAGGTTAGGATTGGTAACTCAGCTAGCTGACATGGACACCTTGGGAAGTTACCCCCAGGGGTCCCTGGGGTTGGAGGATGGGCCACTCCAGGGAGGCCCCCTCTTCCTGTCAGCTGCTCTCCCCAGTTATCAAGGCCAGGGATACTGGCTCGTCTGCTGAAGAGGCCCTGAGAAGGAGGCTTCCAGAGCCCCCAGAGTGCTGTGCCCACCTCCAGCCCCACCCCCATGAAAGGCCAAAATCCTAGGGACTCTGGTCTTACTGAGAAGGTGCCTTCCTTGGGGTCACAACCAAATTTGGCCATAGTAACCTGACAGCTTCTTCTACACAGGGCCTTCACCCCCTCACCCATCTCAAGAGTCGCAGCCCCTGCCTCTCCCATTCCACACCCCTCCACACCCCTCCCAGCCAGGCCCTACTGACTCAGCTCCAGCCTCCCGGGCTCCCACGTGCCTTTGCAGCCTGCCTGTGGCAGGACAGTGCTCCCCTGTCCCTTCGGTCTCTAGGCCTCACATCCCCAACTCCAGCCTTTCCTTCACACCTTCGAGGAGTTAAGGACATCAGCTTCTGGTGGCTGAGTCCGCCAAGGGGACCCTCAGAACCCCTAACTTGGGCTAAGTCCCTAGAGCGGGCCTCTCCCCGACCCTGAGGCAGAAGCTCCAGAGCCCTCCCGCTGGGATGCAGAGGTGGCTCAGCCTGCGAGCTTCCCACTACAGTGCCTCCAGGGTCACCTGCTCCTTGCTCCGGAGACACAAGCAGTGACACTGTCCCAACGGATGAACAGACAGCCCAGCCCAGCCTCTGCCATGTCCCCATCCCCCACCCCCACCCCCAGGGCAGGGGCAACACCTGGGCCCACAAGGAAAAGAACGAAAGTCAACCTGTCGGCTACAGCGAGGACTCCCCACTTGGGGGGGAGAGTCCCCAAGTCCCACCCCCGCCCCTGACAAGAGCCATGCAAACGCCTCCCTTCCCCGCCTCGCACCAGACCCGGCCGGCCGCCTGGCGACGTGTTCGGGTGCCAGGGCGCCAGCACAGTCCCGGAGCCGGGCCGTGGGCCATGGCGCCCCCCACTAGAGGGGTGGGAGAGCGGGAGTGCCCTCCCGGCCCCTCCCGATCAGCCCTCCATTCAGCCCGAGCCAGCTCGCTCGCCCTCCCCCTCTAACTTTCCCCCACTCACCACCCCATGGACCAGAAACTCAAAAAGTTTGCTTTTCGTGGCTTTGCGCGCCCCTCCGGCAACTTCGTCCGCGGCCATCGGGGTGGGCTCAGCGGCTCCTCTCACTCTCTCTCTCTCTTCCTCTTTCTTTCCCTTTTCTGCCTTTTTTTTTCCTCCAACTCTCCCCTCTGAGTCCTGCTGGGCTCTCTCACACTTCTACTCGAGCGGAGTGGGGAGGGGGCCCCTTCAGGGCTGCCCTGACGGCCCACGGCCCACGCCGCCGCCGCCCGCCCGCCGCCGCCGCCGCCGCCGCGGCTGCCGCATTCCTGCACTGATAAGACAGAAATAGTCCGGCGGCCCGGGGTCTGCCTGTTGACTCGGCGGGGACCGGGCCGCCTGCCTTTCCAAGCCCGCTGTCCAAACAGCGCAGATAAGCGGCGAGGCGCGCCGACCAGCCCGGCCGCGGGCGCTGGGCAGCAGTGCTGCAGCCCGAAGCCGCCGAGGCCCGCGGGAGGCGGCGCGAGGAGGGGACGCCAGGGGAGGCGGCGGGGGGTCGCCGGCCACCGGCTCTCGCCACAAATAGTTTCTCCGTCAGGGAATTCGCCGGCCGCGCCAGGCAGGGAACAGTCAGTTCCAACTTTTCCCCCAGCGGGCTCCTGCTGCATTTCTGAGGCCCTTTCCCCAGAGACCTGGCAGGCCGAGCAGGGAAACATTCGCTGGCAGGAACCGGGGGAGCCCGGCCCGCGAGGCCTCGCGCCTGCCCGGGGCCGGCGGCGGTGGGTGTGCCCGGGCGGCGGCGTGGCCCTGCGTCCACAGCTGTGTGTGCCCTTGTCTCACACGCCGTGTGTGTCCGCGCCCTTTTGTGGTGTGTCAGCTTATGTGCGTGCAGACAGACGCCCTGTCTGTGTGCCTCCCTCCACGACAGCCTCCGTGCGCGCGCCTGCGTGTGTGGCAGGACGTGGCCTGTGCCTTTCAGCTCTGTGCAAGGCTATTTCTGGGTATGTGAGTCTTTGTTTGCCGCTCTGTGAGAAAGTGAGGGCAATAGGGGAAGTATTTCAGAAAGAGGGACAGGGATTGTGTTCATGAGAACAGGAAGAGAATGAATGTGGGGAATGGCGCAGCGCCAGGGGGGTGCTTGGGTGGGTGCGTGGAGAGAACGAGGCAAGCCGGGCTTGGTTTTCTTGGGGTGGGGGTGGAGTGGGGTTAGGGGACCCAGAGGAGTTGGGGCAGCTGGGCTGGGTATAGTGGGTATATTGGGCCGGCCTCAAGACCCCAAAGAGAGGGATCTTGAGGCTGCGGTGTGGGGTGGGGTGGCAAGGGAGCCCCAGAAGGGGCGTGTGGAAGGAGTTGGCAGTCCCTGGAGTGGAGGAGGGACCGGAAGGAGGAGGGGCAAATCCTGACATACCCAGGCTGGGAGCCCTGGGCCTACCCAGGTCCCCAAAGGCCACGCCCCTTTTTCCTCCTTCTGGGGGAGGAGCCCGTGGGCTTTGGAACAAGGCCCCTTGGGTCAAGTTTGGGGGCCTGCTGGGGCCTCACTGTGAGAATCCAGGTGAAGGCAGGGCCATAGCCTAGTGCCTAGGGGAGTTTGTTGAAACACTTATTTGAAGTTGGGTCCTGAAGACTGAAGTGTCCTGACCCTAAACCCTTCAGAATGCCTTTGCCTAGGGGTCTTTTCTGCCTGCAGCCTGATTTCTGCTGGCCCTGGTTGTGCTCTTGGCTGTCACTGTTCATTTGGGTGTCCACTGTCAATCTGAAATGTCAGGGAGGGCATCTGGTCCAGGATGCTCCTCTACCACCCCTAGCTTGAAAGGGGACCTAGAGATACCCTTGCTGCCAAATCTCTCCCAGGGCTTTAGCCTAGACGCCCCCTCCACACCCACACACAGAGCCTGGGCCCTGACAGGGTGGGGATGGGTGGGTGGCCTGCCTCTGTCTGCCACAGGTCATGCAGGTAGCTGCTGGGAACCTGGGGAAGTGACTTGTCCAGTCTGCCTGCTAACCTCCAAAATCCCTGCTCACTCCCATTTCTTAGCCCCTGCCCACGATTCTTTTACCTGGAATGCCCTTTGTCTGCCCTCTGCCTTCCCTCTGCTTGTCCAAATCACATCTATCCTTTAAAGCCCAGCCCAGGCCCCACTTCCTCCAGGAAGCCTTCCCTGGTCCTACTTGTATGCAAAGATTTTTCTCTTCTCCAAATGCTCATTGCCATCT